GGGGAGGACAGCGGTGCCGCCAGCGACATCCCGTCCCAGAGCAACGCTGCCATGTGCCGGGCTGGCACGTCGGAACCGAGCGGGGCGCGTGCGCAGAGTCTCGCTCAGCCCCTTCTGCTCAATCCAGAGATCGAGGCCAAGTACAACAAGAAGATGCACGTGCTGCGGGACGAGCTTGATCTGCGCAGAAAGACCGAAATCCATGAGGTTGAGGAGAGGAAGAACAGCCAGATCAGCGTGCTCATGAAGAACCACGAGAAGGCCTTCAGTGACATCAAGAACTACTACAATGACGTCACCCTCAATAACTTGGCGCTCATCAACACGCTCAAGGTAGTGCCAGCCTGCTCCGCCAGCCCAGCCCGCTTGTGGGGTGCGACCCCTCCACGGGGAACGTCTCCCGTGGGGTTTTCCCCCAGAGCTGGCCGTGCTGGAGGTGCTGGCGCTGCGGCTGTCCCGGGGGAGCTGCGCACGTCGCCCGGGCATGGCTCTTGCGCGGGCGCAGCCGCGGCTGGCCGGGCTGGCGGTGGGAAGAGGGGCCTGGCAGTGCGGGGCTGAGGGGCAGGCGGTAGCACTTGTGTGTTTCCAAGAACAGGAGCAGATGGAGGAGATGAAGAAGAAGGAGAGTCACTTGGAAAAGGAGATGGCAGACATGCTGCTCCAGAACAAGCAGCTGACGGAGCGCCTGCAGCGGGCCCAGGAGCAGGTGTCTGAGCTGCAGAAGAAGTTGACCCACTACGAGAAGGACAAGGAGGCTCTGAGGGTGAGCGGTGTCTCCTGCTGAGCCCCTTCGTCCCCTCGAGCCGCCTGCTGGACCGGAGCTGCTCAGCACTGACCTCTGCTGCTCAGGCCAGAGCTGCTTGGCCAGAGTGCCAAGCAAATTCCTCTTCCAGCTTAGCTCTTGTTTACACCTCCCATGGGACTCCCAGCACTCGCTCTGGTGAGGGGTGGGTACCCCCGCTGCAGAGAGGGAGGGAGATGGTTCAGGTATTGCCGTGACTTCTCGCCCCTACATCTCTTTCCTGGTCACTATCCTGCCTTGCTGGAACTCATCCCACACCTTTCAGAAAAGTCTGCACTCCTTAATGGCCTCTTCCCATCTGCAGAACACAAAAGCCCATTTGAAAGTCAGCCAGAAAGAACTAAAAGATCTTCAGTGGGAACACGAAGTGCTGGAGCAGAGGTTTGGTAAGGTGAGAGCTGCAGATGGGCCTGGACAACCCCTTTGCTTCCCCCAAACCCTCCCCTCTTTGCAGAGGCTGCGCGGGCCATGCTTAGCTAGGGGATTTCTGAAGATCTCATCCGGAGCTGAGCGTTAGCTGCTGCTTCCAACAAAGCTTCCCGCGGCTTTGGCATCTCCCGTGCTCCGCGGACAGGCCCAGCCTTGTGCTTGGCTGCGCGATACCGCACGCTCCGATGCTCCCGCCCGGCCTCGGACGCCTGGCTCCGGAGCAGGGCCACGCGGCGGGGAGCTGGGGACGGTCCAGGGACAAGCTGTGACGGGAGCCCTGGCCCTGCGAGAGCTCTCTGCCTTGTCCTGTCAGAGTTTGGGGGTCGCTGCCTCCGCTCGCTGGGCAGGAGCTGCTCGGGGTGAGTTTATCTTCAAGGAATATGGGATTGTCTGAGTTTGCCCAGACTCAGCCTCTCCCTCCCAGCTAACCCAGATAAATTGACTGAGGCAGAGCAGAGCTCATTTGCGATTCGTAGAAATCCCCAGGAATATGAACATTGATCTGAGGCCTCGTTAACAATCCATCATTAAGGCAGCAACATATTCAGTGCATTCAGAAATAGGCTTTGGAGGAAAGATCCTAATTAGGACACTTATTAACTAGCTGTGAGCCAGGGTCTCCTGCCAGCTGCCAGGAGGAGAGGAGAGACCCTGAGCGCCGGG